TACTATTAAACCATTCCCTTCATAAACTTATCTAACTTAATCTTAAAACCAGACAGGTCCCTCGCCCCCACCGTTCGGTTCCCAAAGAACTTCCTCTTGGACCCCAGTTTATATAGTGAAAATTGAGGCCTGCTTAGCTGTACCTTAACCAATCAATTTACTAAAATTTTACTAACCAATGCTAATATATTGTAACAAAATTTTCTAACCAATCCTCCCCCACCACCTTAATTGATTTACACCTAGCAAAATTAATTATGTAACAGACAGAAACAATCAAAGAACCAGACAGAGTTCATACAGACAAACAATAGAGAATTGGGGACCATAATGACAAAACAATAAAGAAATTAGGATTTCACAACCACAACTATTGATAAGTGATTTCTTGACAGACAGAAGGCTATCAAATTAAGTTTTCTTTAACCATCTTAAGATCTGTTTCTTTATCTGGTGCTAGTGGGTGCCATTAGGAGGGGGTGTCCTTCTTAACAGCCTCATATTACATTGTTTTGATGTAAATTATACGGAATGTGAGGTTGTGACTTCCTGCTTCTCAGCTAATGGCTGCTGCTCTTTTAATCTGCTGCAGACGAAGGCCTTAGACTTTAGGCCTTGCAATATGTCTACGGATAAAGGCCTTATCCTTACAGCTAAGGTATGAAAATACATAGTTAAGGCACCCAATTCTTAGCTCCATCCTGTAGCGTTGCAGTGAATTGACCAGACAGTTATGATTAGTTTATAATGTTTGTAGTCCCAGGTTAAAAAGAAGTTTCATTTTCCCCCTCATATTAGAGCAGAGTTAAGGTTGTTTTGTTATAAAGAATAATGGGGAAAACAAGTATTAATTCTTTATATACATGCACACAATATGGAAAGTTTGAAGAATCTGTTATTCTGTAACACCATTCAGGACCAAAATAATCTGACCCAGGGAACTAAACTTCTTAAAGGAGCCATTTCAAATTATTTTTAACTCCTAAATTAATTTGTAAATTGGAGTAAGTCTGTAATTTGGGGAGGGATACATGGTATTTGTCATATGAAACAAAGTGGGTGAATCCCTACTTCAGGCACAAAATTCAACTCAGCCTTAGCTATAGATCCATCCAACCAATGCTTCCATAATAAGATGCTGCAAGTGTATTATATACAATACTTGCCTGTATATACATGTAAAT